CAGCATGGCTCTACCACGCATAAAAAATATTTAAAAATCGATTTGAAGCATTACACTTAAATAAAAGAAGCTGCTCTTTAATAGATACCATGTCAACGAATGCTTGTTTTATTTAATAAAGTCAGTACTTTATTAAATAAACAAAAGATTTTTCATCTCGAACGGAGTGCTCTCAAAGCAGAATTTTAAATTCTACTAAAGCCTTTTTAATAAGGAATAAATCAACATGTATTTCAATTAAGTTAATTTGTGTGGACGCATTCTCCATACAAAAAGAAATTGTCTCCTTTCAAAGCTAAATTTTGCCATGATAGAAGAAGATCCAGATTATTTATGCGCTCTTTTCCTAACCGTAGATGCAAGGTGGGTTATTGAGAGACAAGAAGCAAAGATTATTACGCATCATTAATCAAAAAGCTACGCGAAGAACTAAAAAATAAACGTCGAGGAAAATTGCGTGCTAGATTGCTTTTTCATCATGATAATGCCCCTGACCATCGATATGATGTTGCAAGCGCTGCCATTCAAACTGCTGGGTTTCAGTTGATGCAGCACTTACCATATTCTCTGGACCTAGGTCCGAGTGATTTTGACCTTTTTACTCACCTGAAAAACACTTGCGTGATAGAAAATTCGACGAAAGAGGCGACGATGACGTGATGTGTGCTGTAGAGCCCTTTTTGAGGCCCAGGACATGTCCACACAGACACCAGCAAGTAGCTGTCATCATCCATCAATACCTCGCATATAAATATAAATTTATAGATGAAAACATTGCATATTATAAATACAAGCCCGAAATCATACTTGACTCTCGGGAATTCAAACTATACTGGGACAGAACTATATTAACTGATAAGGCCTTTTTTCCAAGGGAATTAACCAACTTGCAAAACGCTATTCTTGAATAAACATGGTGTATTATTAGCTTAAAAGGCTTAAAAGGTTAAAAAAGAAATACAATTTAAATATACTTATCCTAGTGCGTTTCCAAAAACTTATTGATCTCCCTGGTATTTAACCGACTCAAACAAAGATGGCACTATCGTCCACTTTAACTATTATTATATTAGAATGTAAAAGATACACTGTAAAAAAAACATGCGTAACATACAAGGGGCACTATGCCAATTTTATCCAAGGAGTATATTTTACACGAGGAAATGTTTTCGCATACCTACATCACAAGCTGTCATACTAGGTACTCCATATACTCCACATAGGTACTCCACCTTCACCGCATATCAGCAGGCCATGTGAACACTTTCACAAACATCCGCGGAACAACGAGCGCCGGATGCACCTTAGCGGCCCTTCCTTAGAATGGATCAAGCTCCCATATCCTGCCTCAGACAAAGCACGCCGAAACACAAGTTTAACTAAGCCAGCACGCGGCCAGAACTGATGATTAACTGCTGAATGCTTACACTGACGGGCCACTGGAGGAGAGCGGGAGATGGATTTTCTTACGCTTCAACAATGCGGTTAATTATATTACGGTTGAGTTTCGCATTTTTTGTATGAAAGGACCAGTTACTTATAGGTTATAGGTGCAACCTTTATAATAATCTAGACTGGTTCGCATTATTTAAATTCAATTCTCTATTCACTGAACTACTTTCTTAAATTTTCGAACAATGCACCTTTAGGAATTAATAAAACACAAATATCAACAACCCATTGAATGTTAATGTACTTACGTTATTTTATCAGTACCGTTTTAGACCGAGCTCACCAATCACCATTGTAGCGGTTTCGACCTTGCCATGCGTGTTGTTTCTAGTAGGTATGTACCGCGAACTTCAAAGCGCAATTTTTAATCCGCCTATGGATTACTGTGGTGAGCCGCTGGAGCAAAGAAGGGTTACTCTCGACTCGAACCTACTTAAACCCCGCGGTGTTACACATGTTCCACGAGGCGCAATGGAACACAAGTGCGTTTTCCTCTATGGCCCCAATCTTCACATGTGTTGGGCCCCCAAGTGGTCAGGAAAAACAATTATCCGAAAGCAGGACCAGCTTAACTCAAAAGTAAGGTAGGCAATTGTCTATGAGCCCCGCGTCATTTAAGGACCCTGTGTTTTTTTTTATAGAATAAGGGTGACAAACGAGCACACAGTCCACCTGATGGTAAGTGGTTGCTGTGGCCGATAGACATCTACATCTATCCTCAATAAAGAATCAAAATGCAGATGCGTTGTCACCCGTGAGGACTAAGATGGAATGCCTCATCTCCAGTAAAAGGAGTCTCCGGTTCTCTACACTCACCATACGAAACACAGCAGCGTTAAGTTACTATTTTGGCTCTACCACGTATAAATACGTGGTAGAGCCATGCTGCAGCTATATTAGACACGTTCATAGAAAAAAGGCATTTACGTGTTATAGGAAGTTATAAACCCTATAATTTTATTTACAAGGCTTCTTGGCTTAATCTGGTCTTATCCTGTAGCACCAGCCTCTCACCATATTTCGGCCTCGGAGAGTAGGGACAGTGAGACACCAATAATACCGATACTTGTTTGCCGCAAGTGTTTAAATCTTAGTTGATATTATAAGTAACAATAGTTTGAGTTGGGAGTCCTATGTTCTGCAGTGGACTTGTGAAGGGCTGTAATGATAATGAGTGTGTATATGGTACAACTTATAATACACTGTGGTTGATTTTACATCAATCAATTATACACTTCTCATGGTATAGCTCATTGCGGTTTGATGGTGACGTAAGTGTCCATCCCATTCAGTTCCATACGTGTCATAACAGACGACTAAGGCAAACGCCAGAAAGACCTCATGACCTCCGATTGATGACAGTACAACCATCTCATATTGCTACTATGTCCTATTCGACTTATAGACCGCTGTCGTGGGGCAGCATCAAAGTTGCGATACACTTAGTACTGCCAAGCGAGATAATTAATGTCCTCCAGACCGAAGAGCATAAACGGACCGACCAACAGCCGAAACTTAAATCACGCTATCAAAGTTTTAAAAGCAATCTGCATATTATATAGAACAAACTACGTCCTCTAGACCGAATATCGGTCACGGCTGCCAGTCTCAACGTAGAGTAGCAATCTGCGCAAGATAGGATTAAGGTGCCAGAGTGTATATTTGAAAGCACAGGTGCACTCTCCATTCCCTCACTCTCATAGCGCGATGGGGGGGGGGGGGGCAGAGAGATCACGCGCAGGACCAATAGCTTTACGCGCTTTTAGTCACGGGGTTGAAACCCCGTTAACTTTATGACCCCGGGCTGCTATTGAGTTTCTTCACAAAAAACACCGATAACCGATTTTTGTCCGGACCCGGGAATCAAACTGTTTCGTAATGAACTTCTCGCTGCCTTGGCTTACTGTTCTGAAATGACGATAAAACCATGTTATGTATTCAAAATTCAAGCCGCTAAAAAAGCAGATAAGAAACAATTTGTCGTATCTATTTCGACTTAAAATATCGTTTCGAAAATATTTGTTTTAATATTATACTTATATTTAATAATAGTAGTAAGTAGTAATAATAATTGCAACTGTTTTTATAAAATAAGGGGGACAAACGAGCACACAGTCCACCTGGTGATAGAGATGCTAGATGCAAGATAGAATGCTTTATTTCTAGTTCACAGATTCTCCGGTCGTCTACAGTCACCATACGAAAACAACAGCATTAAGCTGCTACTTCACGCTGGTATTCTGTGGGAGCGTGGTCCTACCCTCGCACGAGCCGAACCATTCGTACTACAATGCAACATGGCTTTAACACGTAAAAAATATTGTTCATACATTGAACAATATTGTGTTCAGAATTCAGAATTACGTTAATTCCGTAGTTCTCACTTAACCAGTTGAAGTAACATCTATTTGTGCAATGAAGCAGTTTATAACTGGACGTTGCTTATCAACGGGAGAGCGTCAATTAATATTAGTCGATCGTCGGGCGGTGCTGTGTTAGCTCACAATTTCCGACCCCGGTAGTTAAGTGACGAAGTGATTCGGGAAATTGTTTTCATTTCCTTTGCACGGATGCTTGAACTGATTCCTTATCAGATTGAGTTTGCTCGTACGGTTAGAAATAGAATTTATAAAAGACAAAAAATATGTTCAACATGATTTTATTAGCTTGACCTGTAGGTTTATTATATACAAGGAGCCCTCTCCGACTTCGCTTGGACAGTAAATTTTAATGTGCCATCATTTAGCTTTAAGTTAATCATAAATACCATTTATTTTCTGCCGACTTCAAAAAGGAGACGGTACTCAATTCGACTGTATGTTTTTTTTTATGTGTGTTATACCTCATAACTTTTTACTAGGTGAACCGATTTCGATGATCCTTTTTTTATTTGAAAGCTGGTACTTCACATATGGTCCCATATGAATTTGATCAAGGTCAGACTAATAGTTTTGCAGTTATTCTTAATAATTTATATTGAAGTCGGCTGTACAAAATATTTAATTTTAAATTATTTAGTTATACGATTTTCCAAAAAAGAAAGTCATTTTTTTCTGGGAACAATATAGCCTAGACCACCCTTGAAATTACTCTCTATCTGTTTGTGAAGTTTCATCCCAATTTGTTCGGACATTTCGAAGATTAGCCCGGTCAGACGGACGGAAAGACAGGCAAACAATTTAATAAAAATGGTGATTCACATGTTAGTAACATGCAAACATCCCTTTGATCTGAAGGTCAGTTATTTCTATATTATAGAGAAGAAGACATTTCAATTTTATTTATATGTATTTGAAACGACTTAGGGACTAACTTTAACATTAATCATTATTATTTTACAGAGCCGTGGTGACTCAGGGACTAAACGCTCGCCCTAATTTCTTATTATGCGAGCAACCCAAGTTCGATCTTCGCCGACGTAAATTAAAATGCTTATTGGATTTTAGGTCTTGATATTTTGACTAATTGAAGATATTTCGAGGACCTGAGAAAATCCTCAATTACCGCTGTATCATTGCGACAAAATCTTTTCTGCACCTTGTGCTCATCTACTCGTAATCGTATTCTAGTTTGATGATTGCAGTAGGTTCTGCTGATGATGTTTCAGTGATGAACTCCTCTTTCTGAATTGATGCCTGTGGCGATTCGGTGTATGGACATGACGACCGTGACAAAGGTGAATTAGGCCTATCGAGGCCGTAGCTCTCGGCGTAAATTAACTGATTTATTTTGATCATTAATAAGTCTCTACGACTATCAGGAAGTTTACGCAGTTTCTTGGCCACGAGTCTTCCAAATATATAACATTCATCGTCCTCTTCATTTAATTGTTGCTCATGCTCAGATAACGAACGCTGCCTCTTCCCAGACGTAGTTACCACGGGCCGCTGTTCTGGGGACGAACTTTCTTGATCTGTAAATTCTTGTTGTGACAACATTATATATGAGCACGATTCCACTTCTGGATTTGATCCAACAGTATTCGAGGTCCCCGCATTGTCTTCATCGATATTTATATGTTCTACGGGATGGTTATTTTGATCATCTTGAACAATATTTGCCTCTTCTATATTACGTTTCTTCTCATCCTGGAATTAGAAATATATTAATCTTTTATCCTTTTATATACAGATATCGATTACAGATTTTTTTATGGAATAAGTGACACGAGAGCACACAGTACACCTGATGCTAAGTGGCCGTTATGGCCCCATAGTTACATTATTAATCAAAATGCAGGTGCGTTATCGCCCCTGAGGACTGGAGTGACAAGAGTAAAAAGGCTCTCCGATTCTTTACACTCACCATATGATACACAGCAGCGTAAAGCTGTTCGGAAATCTGTGAGAGCATGGTCCTTCCCCGGTCGAGCCGACCCATTCGTATTGTAACTATACTAAAACGGTTGCGTTGTTCTACTAAGTAAGTACAAGACAGTGATATTTTCGTCAGATTTCGACATACTATTGGTGTCTTTTAGAATGCAAGCATGAATTTACAGGTCTGAGAAAACTTTCACTACAAAAAAATTCTCCAACATCTTGTTATATTTGCTGATGTTTATGGCCACAAAATCTACTCACTATCCACATCGACCTTACTTTTAAACTGTAATACTGATGTATCACGATGGGGCATAGGATTTAATAACAATTGAATAAATTAATACCCTGGAGACCACAAACGGCATCAACAAAAAACTATCGTCCGCAAGTCTCGTTGTTGAAAGTACATTTTATTGAAGAAGGTAATTTCTCTGTTTTGGAGAACTCCGTAATCCATTGTTATTTAAATAATAAAAACCAACGTAACTCTGTTGGCTAATGGCACCTGACACAATTTTTGAGAATAAGAGCATTCAAAAACGTTAATTTAATACAGCTGGCATATTTAAACATTTCACCGTGAATGTTTTATTAGTTTATCAGCAGTAGTTTATCAACAGTCAGTAGTTTATCAACGGTATACGCAATGAACGCAAAAATATATCTAGTGCACATACTTATAAACTTATTATTATGTACAGATTTCGATTTAGATATTAAAACAAATATATTCAGGGATAGTGGATGAAAAGAAGTTGGCAAATATGTAAAGTGCCAAGTGACACCAGCGTCTTATCGGTGACCAGTGACAATGCAATATTCATTTGTTAACGCCTGGCAAATTAACTGAGCAAATTTTGTTTGAGCAAAATTTACAGTTAGCAGCTTGTTTAAATGCATTATACGCATTATTATATATAATTAAAAATATTAAGGATAAGTCTATATAAATTATATAATTATTAAGGATAAGTCAAAAACTACTGGTCAGATTTTGATCAAATTTATATGAGAACACATGAGAAGCGCCAGCTTTCAAATAAAAAAAAATGATCATCAAAATCGGTTCACCTACAAAAGATATCCTCCTTTTTTAGTTGGTTAAATCATTAAATATCTTTCCATGAGCAGAAATATAAGATTAATATCCAATAACTGTATTTGCGTACGAGTAAATTTATTAGAGTCAAAAGAAAAAAGTTTTTATAACAATAAAGCGTTAAAAAGCAAACTCGCTACGTCTTGAACCTAGGGTTCGACAAACAACGACAAGAAGCTGGCAAAGAGCCGCCCGCCCACGCTACTAACGATATTATTAAATTAAACTGTCTGATATTTTTTTGTATCGATAGTCTTAAGATCGAAGAACTCTGATGAATGGAACATCATGGAACGCTTTGATTGATAATATCAAAGATTTTAGATGACAAATAAAACGGTGTTTAAGTAAATTATAAAAAACAGGACCTGATGTTAGTGAAGTCACAGAATAAATAATAGTACTACGTAAGTGGTGAAGAGCAGTTATTTTGCTACTTCTCAACATGTGCCCAGATTCACTAAAATCGATATAGAGTACTGTTTTTTTAATAATTTAAATTTTTTTTAATAATAGTTACTCCAAAATTTCATCAGTTGTCCGATCATTTTTGTACCAAAAAATATATTATAAATTAACTTTTATTTCCTGGTTATATCTTATTACTAATTTATTGTTGATTGTGGTCATACGTTTTAAAATAAAGCTTTTACTTTATGCAGACTAAAAAACAAAATTGCATAGTTATACACAATACAATGATGTTTATAAATAAAAAAGGTTACCCACTAGCGCTACTAAACGTTTTATCACGCTAAAACCAAAGACTACAATGTTAGCTAAAACTGAAGTGTCGCGTCGGCAAGTGATCAAGCTACTCCGGCCGGCCCTCGCCATGATTACGTAAGCTTAAAGAAAAGGACAACAATAGACGTTCCAGTTGCGATAGCGATAGAACACGAAGAGTGAGAGAGAATGTAGTGAACTGTAAGTAAAACATGTGCATGTGTGGTGTGTGCTGCCGCTGGCTCGGCCGAGTGCGGAACATTTTATTCGGTGGTTTTGTAGCAGAGATTACCCCCTAATAGATACCGCATCATTGAATATTTGTTCTGTTTCGAATTTTACCAAATTTGGAGGTATAGTGCGCGCAAGATAACTCTGCGCGCGACTGATGGCTTACTTAATGTTACCAGCTTACCTAATATTTACAAACTTAACTAATACTTACAAAGACCTAATAAATATTAAACCCTATATTTATTGTTTAAAATTCGCATAATAAATATATTTCTTGATTGTAACTTCCGTAAGTTTAACACAAGTATCACAAGTTTCTATGGTAAGATTTAAGTTACTATAAACAATTCCTTAAAAACATTTTAAAACGTTTAATTTATGCGAGCGAGTTTGAGAAAAAAAAACCAAAAAAAAGTTTACTTTTATTTTTGGTATTCTTCTCAGCAAAGTCTTTTATTTGGTATCCATATCATTGGAATACACAAAAAATAACTAGTCCGCCATCTTTGGGAGTCCGCCATATTGGATTTAGAATGAGGTCACTTATTTTCATCTAAACTTAACGTATATGCGAAATTTCCGCTCCATCGAGAACCTAAAAGTTGCTGAAATTTAACTTTCAAATTTTTTTTACATAATTTTAGGTGAAGATATTATATGCGTGTTAGAAATGATTATTATTATGATTAATGAACACTGATATTTTGTCTATAATGAATTTTTCAAAAAAGGTATTTTAAAAATATTTATTATAAAGAACGAAATCAAATGTCCATGGAAACCTTGTAAATCTTTTATTGAATACCTAGATCTATTTGTAAATTTGGTGTAACAATGGTCCTGCAGTGGGTCAACGCCTTCCATTCTTACATCTTCATCAGAATCCACGCTGGTCTTCATCAGAAGACTCCGATGTGTCGACCTGTGACATTAATTATAAATTTATCCATTTAAACTGGCACCTTTTGTATTCGTAGCCCATAGTCTTTAAGCTACTACTCAATGTTGTTCTGCCATATTTAAAATCAATATCACCTTTCAATTCCAACCAAAGTTTATTTATGGCAGGAATCTCTTTCTTCACAACGTCAACGTCGTTCATTTAAATGCCTCATAGCGCCACGTATGAAAATCGTCTAAATCATAATTTTTTCCTCCAGTTCCTAGTTTTTCCCCGGCGACACAATTTTAGAAGATGAAGCTACTGCTACATTATGTACCCTCTTCAGTTATTTGGGTGATGGTGAGTTCAGAAACGCCTCAAACATAATAAAAACAATACATTATAAATACATGATATTAATGACACGAGGAAACTTAAAACGAACAAATCGACAAAATTAGGGAGTTTTATTTGTTATGGCAGCCCTAAAAATTACCTGTGAAATATGAAACGTGGGCTCTAACTTTGGAAAACGGTACTGTAGGCCCGTTATTTTCTCGTTCTTCTTCACAAGCACGTTTGACCTTCAATGTAATATTAATCATTTTTAATCACTTTTAAGCAATTTTAATCACTTTCGGCATAATGATGACGATTATTTACTGCAAAAACGAATAAAAACACGACACCTAATAATCTGTTTTGACACCTGCCATAAACAGTAAGATGGCGGCACACGATTAGTTCCAATTTTGGCCGCGCGCAGAGTTATCTTGCGCGCACTCTATGCAAGGGTGACGGGGGACGTGTGAAATGCGCTGTGATTGGATGTTTAAAGGTCAAACTTAGAATGCGCCAAACCATAGTGATGAACAGGGTTGGGACGTTGATCGATAAATTTGGTATTTATTGATTATTGATTGATAAATAAATATATTGACCAATTTTTATTTCATGTTTATTAAAAAATAAAACAACATATACATATATTTATACACTTAATTTATAAATATTACTGATTTTTAAAATGGATAAACTTAGTATAAAATTGTCTCGCAGAATTTTTAGGATCTGTCTTCCTGGATAAGTAGTGTAATCTTATATCTATGTATTTTTCTATGACACTCTTAGCTAAATCAATGACATGATTACAACTTTCGTGATCGAATTGATTTTTTATTTCTGGACAAATATCCTCATTAACAAAACTGTTGAATGTTTGTGTTACAAAATGGAATTTGTCTTTGTAATATATTTGAAAACCTTGATTTGAATCGATTGAGCTTCGAATGACTTGTAATATATAATATAAAATATTACCAATAATTATTTAGGTACTAATAATACGTTTATTATACATTTATAAAAATTATAATCATATAATTAATTATATATAATCATACCGCATTTTGCAACGATGTGCCGGCCACAGGAATTTCCGCATTTTTAGCCGCAATATCTGCACTTGCACCTATGGTAGGGACGGGTGCCTACAAGTAGTATTATTAATTAATACACCATACGACACGTCTTCCAAATTTAGATGTACTTAATAATAATAATAAGATATTACTGAAGTTCATGTAACATTAGAATACCAAGTCAAAACAATAATCACATTATAACTTTTACATGTTTTATGATTTATAAATTAAAAATAGTTTGATTTCAACGTGTAACATTCACCTAAATATTAAAATATCATGTTTCACTTAACCACTTAATGCTATTATTGTGTAATCTACATTGGTACTAATCTTTAAAAAAAATGTATTAGTTCATACCAAAACTGGCAAGTATAGAGATGGTATAGCGGAATCCAACAGCCTTCTACGGTTTTTCATAATATGAAGGTTGTCTTCTGTGAAGTGTCTTGAGCATAACACACTATTTTTGGTGGGAAACCATTCGTCTCCTCGACAAGTTGCGTCGATCCAGATCTTTTTCATTTCGGGGCATTTAGGAAACCTATAACATATAGGTACCACAATGATACGTCACTATTTTATAAAATAATATGACTTGTAAAAAAAATAATTAAACGATGACAAAAACAAATATCGTCTTAAAAGTCCCAACACTATCGATACACGTGTTGTTGTTAGACATAGACAACTATTGTAATTTACGTAAAGAGTGAAAGGGACATTGCAAAAAGACATCAACGGGTGCTTAATTGTTATCACTTTGCACTATTATTAAACCAGTATAAGTTGATCTCCGGTGCATTTGAAATAGGTTAACGTGATAAGAATAGAATTTACTTACCGATGAAATGTTATGCCATCTTTTTGGTAACTGGATGTCTTAGCTGACTTGCCACACCATTTCACCGCACAAGAAGCCATTTGTAATGTATTTTGGATACAAAACTATATTTAAATTGTCAAGAACTCGGACGTGACTACGGGTCACAAACTTGGTCAACACTGATGTCGTGATTCTTAGCGTCACTTCATATGCTAGCTATAGCAAGCATGTGTTGCGCGCGTTTGTGGCCTTGTATGCGTATGCGGAATCTATTAGGGGATAGGGAGTAATCTGTGTTTTGTGGGCATATAATGCAACGTTTAGATACTCCTCGAGCACAGATGCATAGGCACGAATACGAACATGTAAACGACTTGTTCGGGTGCGTTCGCTACTCGGCCCTAGTATTCGGCTGTTCTCCACTCGATGTTGGGTTTTTAGCACAAGTTCAAAGAATGTTCGTATGTATTCGTATCGGTGTTTACAAACTCGTCATTATTCAGCTGACCCGTGAATTATCATTATAATTTACTCAGCCAATTTACCGTTACAATTTTCTCTACCTCTCTTTGACAAAATATATATAAAAAATATAAGTATGTACTCGATTCAGCTAAAATTAAAAATTTCATAAGTGCGTAACTACTTTTATATATTCTACATAATACAAACTATTTTTCTACTACTGTCATATTTTCATCTTTTTTCATTAAAATATTAGTGAGTCTATAAAAGTTAAGTAATCATAATGTCGCAGAAATGAGACGTACGTCATCCATATTTAAAAAATCTACGTTGAATGAATACAGATGAATATGTAAACGCGTCGTACTCGTCCACGAATAACTCGGCGAGTTGCTCGTCCGATAATCTAAACGTGCCATAACGTATCTATAAAAATATCATTGGATATACAAAGAAATCTACACGAGTGTACGACAAGAATAAGCGATCACAGGTTTTTGACGAAATCATATTCCTTAATGCAAAAGGCAGTCGGAATATATATGACAACTACTTCCAAAACTGTTTAAAAAAATGCTTTCTTACTCACTTTAGTACTCATCGACTGGTTGCATTTATAGACAGACCCAAGAAAACCGTCCATATAAGAGAATGCGAACCATGAAGGTTGATAAACGTCGGCAGAGCTTGATCCTAATACTTCCGATCTCTTAATTTTAGTTTTGTAAGATCTATACGCAGCCATTAAGGAATCTTTTTTCCTCTTAAGGTCTTTTACAGCGCATGGCACACCTAAACCAATTAGTATATCGACCCACGCCTCGCTCACACGGTCTTTGTTTCTATACCATATGTGTTTTGGGTCCCAAATACACGGATATTTTTCGTACAACTCTAAAAATCGCAAAATAGTTTCGTTCGTCCAATCCATTTTGACACGTCTAAAGCGATACTTGGCGTGCGCTCTACTGAGCCAGGGTCGTGCTGTGTGGCCGTAACCGGTATAGCGAATATTCAGTTTATGTGAGTTCCTCTATGTGTGTGTTTGGTTATCGGCGAGCGGGCGGCAACGCGTGTTCGCTGTTTGTTATTTGTCCTATTTGTGTGGTTAGAGCAAATAAAGACGAATAACTTTACACATAGAGCTGCTTACAGCGAAAAGCAAAGACTAAAGACGCAAACTCAGAACGTGATGAGAAATTCAACCATCGACCACATTGAAATTCAAATTATTACAGGTAGTGGTTTCTCATACTATTTGCACAAATACATTTTACGGGGTGATCACGTTCAATTATAACTCTATTTTAATTCTCAGTGCTTTAAGCGCTTCGCAGACCGGGTTATCTTTTTATTTTTTTATTTTTAAATATTCAGTAAATATTTTCGAGATTGTTCTCAGTTCACGCAAACGAAGCTTGAGTGGTTGAGATGTAAAGGGGTAGGGGGCATGCGAGCCAGTCCGTTCCTCATTGGTTTTAACATTAAACATTTATATTAATATTCAAAATCCAGTACATTTCGATGCCCCCGAGTAAAAAGTCGGTAATCGTAATACTTAAATTTTACAGGAAAAATGATTTACTGTTTTAATGGCATTCAGGAACGCGTTGGAATATTAAAGTGGTTTATATATCAAAAATGAAAGTCTTATATTTATGTTTTAATTTGATTTGTTTGTGTTGTTTTTTCCTTGGATAAATAAAAATAATAGTAATGAAAGTTATTTTTTATAAAATCTGATCTTTAATTTGGCGTCGAGTAAAATAATTATGAATGCAAGCAATATGGGAAAATAAAAATTACTGAAAAGGCGCTTACAATGTGTTTCAGTATTATTATTTACGGGATTATTGTATATTTCTCAAAAGTGATATTATAGTAACGTTGAACTACTGTTTGTTTTTGTTATTTAAGTCGCTAAATTTAATGTACAAAGTTATTGATGTACTTTAAAATAGATAAAACAAGGCATAAAACTCTGTTTTTATACTCGTAGTGAAAATCAATATTATATTTTCTAAGTAATCGTCTAATACTAGGAAACTTTTTGCGAGATATTAAGGCTTCTACAATGGTCAGTAACTTTGACGATTAGACTTTGTTTAAATTTAGCGACACCTACCAAAAGACAGACGTACTACAATGGCACTACGTAAATAGTAGACAAAAATTAACGATGCATAGATATGACTCGCATAATTACATTCAATCTCTGAGACCAAGTAGCGAATTGACTTACTTTTTGCTTTAGACCTTGTAACAATATTCACTTCCATGTTCAGCACGGACGCTTCTCACTTGACACATTGTGAATGTATGTGGATGACCACATAAGTTTCAAGTGGTTCTCAGCAATGCAAATGGTTAGGAAGATTTGGTTTCAGAAACTCTCATATTCAGCACAGACGTTGCTACATGCCATACACTTCGTGAAGGTGTGTGGATGACCAGGTAAGTACCAAGTAGTTTTCAGCAATGCAAATGGTTAGGAAGATTTAGTTTTCAGAAAATCTCATATTCAGCACGGACGCTACGACGTGACACTTTGTGAAGGTATGTGGATGACCAGGTAAGTACCAAGTGGTTCTCAGCAATGGAAATGGTAAGGAAGACTTAGTTTTCAGAAACTCTATATGCAGCACGGACGCTGCTACGTGACACTTTGACGGTATGTGGATGACCAGGTAAGTACCAAGTGTTTATCAGAAATGGAAATAGTTAGGAAGATTTAGTTTTCAGAAACTCTAATATTCAGTACAGACGCTGCTACGTGACACTTTGTCAAGGTATGTGGATGACCAGGTAAGTACCAAGTGGTTCTCAGCAATGGAAATGATTAGGAAGATTTAGTTTTCAGAAACTCTCATATTCAGCACGGACGCTGCTACGTGCCATTCACTTCGTGAAGGTGTGTGGATGACCAGGTAAGTACCAAGTAGTTCTCAGCAATGCAAATGGTTAGGAAGATTTGGTTTTCAGAAACTCTCATATTCAGCACAGACGTTGCTAGGTGCCATACACTTCGTGAAGATATGTGGATAACCACATAAGTACCAAGTGGTTCTCAGCAATGCAAATGGTTAGGAAGATTTAGTTTTCAGAAACTCTCATATTCAGCACGGACGCTGCTACGTGCCATTCACTTCGTGAAGGTGTGTGGATGACCAGGTAAGTACCAAGTAGTTCTCAGCAATGCAAATGGTTAGGAAGATTTGGTTTTCAGAAACTCTCATATTCAGCACAGACGTTGCTAGGTGCCATACACTTCGTGAAGATATGTGGATAACCACATAAGTACCAAGTGGTTCTCAGCAATGGAAATGATTAGGAAGATTTAGTTTTCAGAAACTCTCATATTCAGCACGGACGCTGCTACGTGCCATTCACTTCGTGAAGGTGTGTGGATGACCAGGTAAGTACCAAGTGGTTCTCAGCAATGCAAATGGTTAGGAAGATTTAGTTTTCAGAAACTCTCATATTCAGCACGGACGCTGCTACGTGCCATTCACTTCGTGAAGGTGTGTGGATGACCACATAAGTACCAAGTGGTTCTCAGCAATGCAAATGGTTAGGAAGATTTGGTTTTCAGAAACTCTCATATTCAGCACAGACGTTGCTACGTGCCATACACTTCGTGAAGATATGTGGATGACCACATAAGTACCAAGTGGTTCTCAGCAATGCAAATGGTTAGGAAGATTTAGTTTTCAGAAACTCTCATATTCAGCACGGACGCTGCTACGTGCCATACACTTCGTGAAGATATGTGGATGACCAGGTAAGTACCAATTGGTTCTCAGCAATGGAAATGGTTAGGAAGATTAAGTTTTCAGAAACTCTCATATTCAGCACGGACGCTGCTACGTGACACTTTGTCAAGGTATGTGGATGACCAGGTAAGTACCAAGTGGTTCTCAGCAATGGAAATGGTAAGGAAGACTTAGTTTTCAGAAACTCTCATATTCAGCACAGACGTTGCTACATGCCATACACTTCGTGAAGGTGTGTGGATGACCACATAAGTTTCAAGTGGTTCTCAGCAATGCAAATGGTTAGGAAGATTTGGTTTCAGAAACTCTCATATTCAGCACGGACGCTGCTATGTGCCATACACTTCGTGAAGGTGTGTGGATGACCAGGTAAGTACCAAGTAGTTCTCAGCAATGCAAACGGTTAGGAGGATTTAGTTTTCAGAAACTCTCATATTCAGCACGGACGCTGCTACGTGCCATACACTTCGTGAAGGTGTGTGGATGACCAGGTAAGTACCAAGTAGTTCTCAGCAATGCAAATGGTTAGGCAGATTTAGTTTTCAGAAACTCTCATATTCAGCACGGACGCTGCTACGTGCCATACACTTCGTGAAGATATGTGGATGACCACATAAGTTTGAAGTGGTTCTCAGCAATGGAAATGGTTAGGAAGATTAAGTTTTCAGAAACTCTCATATTCAGCACGGACGCTGCTACGTGACAATTTGTCAAGGTATGTGGATGACCAGGTAAGTACCAAGTGGTTCTCAGCAATGCAAACGGTTAGGAGGATTTAGTTTTCAGAAACTCTCATATTCAGCACGGACGCTGCTACGTGCCATACACTTCGTGAAGATATGTGGATTACCACATAAGTACCAAATGGTTCTCAGCAATGGAAATGGTTAGGAAGATTTGGTTTTCAGAAACTCTCATATTCGTTATATTATTGGTTTTCGAGAGAGTTGAAGCCGATAGGGTTGTCGAAATGTAAAGCCAAGATGGCGGCTGCAATAGATATCAATTTTTTCATAATGGGTGTCATTCTCATGGTTTTCGCGGTTGTTGAAGCCGATAGTGCTGTCGAAATGTAAATCCAAGGTTGCGGCTGCAATAGGTATAATTTATTTTATCATGGGTGTCATTTTCATGGGTTTCGAGGGTGTTGAGACCGATAGTGCTGTCGAAATGTAAATCCAAGATGGCGGCTGAAGTACGTACCAATTTTTTCATCATGGGTGTCTTTTTCATGGTTTTCGAGAGTGGTGAAGCCGATGGTGCTGTTGAAATGTATATAAACTACTTTAAAAATTCCGTATAATCATGTTATACGTAATTTTTTTAATGCCCTTAAGGGATGCCCAATTGGATTTACCAATATTTTAATTATTATATCTTAACATGTTAGGTACACCATAAATCTGTCAAGATCAACCGTTGCATATTTTTGCAAGTTAAAATTAATTATAATCTAAGTATCGTGAACAGGTTGGTTGATCCGCTTCTGGAATTACTGGTGTTGACGACCGTGGCGATTCTTGATATAAGTAAAGCGTTGTATTGTCTTCCTGCTCAGCAATTGGAATTATGCGTTGTATTTTCCTCTGGGAGATTTCAAGTTTTTATTTCTATTCTTTTTTTATAGTTTTCTATTATATAGATTGGATTACATATTTCCATATTTCTGCTATGTCTTGGGTCTAAAATTTCAGGCAATATACAATTTAAACAAAAATTTCATAGTTTTGACTTTATTTTATTTTCAAAACAATCGTCATCCCTATAAATGACTTCCGTCGTTTTCAGTGGTTGCGACTCACTTAACTATATAGCAAATACACATTTTGCTTTGTGAGTCACGTGCAACTGTCGTTGTACCAGTTGTGATTTTTATTTATCTTTAAATTACCTGATTTGTCTTTAATCCAAAAATTTACTTTTCTTTTGTAATAGCTTCCTCAAGTCCTGTCTTAAATGCCGTTATTTGAGACTGAACCTCCAGTATTGTTTCTTCGTCTATAATCTCATCTTGTGTGGCCCCCAAATACGGAATTTCGGGATCTATATAAAGCCCGTAAGGTCTTATATCCACTGCTTCTTGCGTAGATAATTGTTGTAGCGCTTTTTTTCATGTTCTCTTCCGTGCTGCAAAGGAACATCATCTATATTAATTTTG